TTGTTTTTTTGACGTTTTGAGCCCCACAACCTGAGTACCATCTAGTTCCATATATTTTAGAGAAAGCAGACATGTCTACATCTAATACCTCCAACACTCAACACTTTACACCATAAAAATCTAGACTGATCTGACTGAACACTACAGGTAAGAGGAAAAACATATATTTTTGATTTTGGGGTGAACTGTCCCTTTAACAAAGTTAAACCAATGATTAGTATCTTTGGGTTCCATGCCTGGCTTCTCTCAGCTGAGAAGTTGTGCTAAATCCAAACTTAACTTGGGAACAATGCAGTATTCAACACCACCTTAATGAGATGCTTCAACTTCCAACCAGCCTCATATTTCACATCAACACGGAGACCATCTGCCAATTTTACGCAGTAAATGTCAAGCTGCTGTGGATGTTTTTCTTTTCCTCAACAAACATGTTGCCTTCAGCAAACTGCCTGAGGAGTCGTGGGTTAAAGATTGAACTGACAGGGATAAACACTTTCTGATTGCGTAATATCAAGTGTTAATCAATCACATCCTGAAATAGATGCACATGCTAGATATATTAATGTAACCTGAAGGTCAAACCATTTTTGTCCCTTTGACTCTGTCACAAAGTTACACACCATCGCTCTGCTGTATCAAAAATAACAGAAAACCTAAAAGCAGAGCATGATCCAATCGGATGCTGTAAATTAATCGGTCATTTATTTTGGAATTCAACCCTTTCTTTGGTTTCAATTGCTTATTAGCCACAGCTTTACTTTAATGCCTGGCTTGGCGAACTCCAACACAGCGCCCTCACGATCAAATTGGAAACAGATTTTAACCTTCTGCCTTTCTTACAAAAGATACTTTGCACTGCAGGTTGCTTTCTTTTCCTTCCTTTTCCTCCTGTTCTTTTATAACCTGCTGTTAAATATTGATATGATAACAATGATCATTTGATGCTCTGTAATCCGTGAAGTTTTCCTGTCCTCCATGAAACATGCAAAGTCATGACCTTAATATGGTGTTCATGTGTCGTTTTAAAGCTTCGTGCTGCGTGAGCCTATAAATGTTACGGAAAAGCAGAACGCCAAACGGTCAGGTAGAACACGCTACTACCACTGAGCATCTTGAGAGTGCATGCGAAACATATTTGTATTCTTACCACATTATTTTTTTAATAGAGATAGATAGGATAGAGAGGTAGAGAGATGTGTTAGGGCTACATGACTCTCTTAACGGAGGTTTTTCGGAGACACGCTGCTAACCGACTTGAGAGGAATCAGTAGCAAGATGACTGTGCAGGCAACAAAACAAACCCACAAATGTATTTTCCGCGTTAATAGAGTTAAAGTTCTCTGGCACAGTGCCGGATTTCCGGCATGGCGAATTTTCTGTCCGGCACGAGCAGAAGTGCTCTACAGTACGAGCATTTCACTCGCATTTGCCCCTAAAAATATATATATATATATGTGCGAACCCGGAAATGATTTAGGCACACAGTGTGCAAGTAAACACAACCTACTGTTTACCATAATCGGCATCGGATGGTTTTTTTATCGATAACTGATCAAATAAATGTATTTTTAAACTCGCTCCTTTGGCTCTAATACAGCCATCTCCCTCCCTGCCTGGGCTGGGCTTGTAACGGTGTGTTCACACCGGGCACGAGTAAAATATTCGCCTCGCTCTACTCGCGCGAGTTTGACCGCTGGAATATTTGTTTTTACTCGCGACATTCACGCGAGTCATTCGCGCGAGTAACAGTGTAACAGTTAAGTCAGACAAGTATGCCGGCCGGAAAGCAAGCTGCATCGGTTGTGCTAACTGGGGCTAATGCTAGTGCTAACTTTGTTGATAGAAACGTACAGCCGATAGTTGGAATCAATTTTCAAAACTTACCAGGCAGACCGACCTCCTCACTCACTTTCCTCCATTCCAGGTCTTTCTTGGTCCTAAGCTTATAATTTGTGGACGTATCGTCATAATGCTCAGTGTGGCCACAAACAGCTATTATTAGCTTGTCCTCCATTTTCGGAACAACGCGGGGCAGTTGTTGACCATTGAGGTCCATCCAGATTTGGCAGAGAAGTGTGTGAAGGCTACCTGCGTTCTCCATAACCCAGACACCTGCAGTGAGGGCGAGCATCCCAGTCGCCGTCGGTGAAGTGGAGCCTGCACTGAATATTAGCACCAAAATAAATATCCATCTGTCTCCGGTGAGTTTTTTGCGTGTGAAAATCAGTAAATATTCACTGTATCCGGCAAGTCACATGTCCCCTGAATGAAGGTTGTTTACTACAGCGAGACAGTGGCAGTTTTTGGCGTGTGAAAATCAATAAATATTCACTGTATCTGGCGAGTCACATGTCGCCTGAATGAATGTTGTTTACTACAACGGCAGCAGCACGTCAGTGACGTCGGTGACGACAGGAAAATCTCAACGCTGATAGGCTGCCCCGACACAGCATCAAGCGAATATTTCGCTCGAGTTCAATATTTTGAACTTGCGCGAAGAGGCGAATGACGCGAATTTCGCGTGTTTGCTCCATTGGCGTCGCGTCATTCGCGTCATTCGCGTCGCGCCATTCGCGTCATTCGCATCACCGGCACAAATTTGCGTCTATTCGCGTGTTTACATTGACTTTGTATGTGATCTTATCGCGTGAAAAATTCGCCTCGCGCCCGGTGTGAACACACTGTGACAATGTCCCGCCTACAGCCCCCTCTGATTGGTTACACGGCACGTGATAGCCAATCAGCACTGATGCCTGTGCATGCTTTCACATCATGTCACACTGAGACACAGAGCACAGACAGAGCGGGAGAGGCTCCAGTAAGTTGCAATAAAAGTCGTCTATGCTGAAGTTTTAAAGTCACCACCACAACATTATATGATCCATTTCAATGATGACATGCTTGCCCAGAGGCGAAATTTCGACGTAACTGCCTGTTTAATTCGCATCAAGTGTGATACAATTTTCTAAAAAATAAATAGCACCAAGGCAAAAAAGAGATGTACTGTAGGAGCTATAAGTCAAAAAGTCTGGTAACCACTGAAAGTTTAATCTTTATTTATAAACTCATTATGCTATAAAAGTTTAATCTGAAAAGTAACTACTAAAGCTATAATCTTTTTATTAGTTTTGATAATAAACACATTCCTTTGCAACACATACATTTCTATTTCTTCATTTTGTGACCGCAACACCAAGCCCCCCGCTCTGGAAAAGATTTCAGATTTCAGGCACACAAATCTTCCGTGCTCCACATTTCAGGCACAAAATTTTTTCTTGCTTTAACCCCTGGAATGAGTCCTAACACACGAAAATGAGTTAGCATTTTAGCGCTGCAAATTCTCTCATCTCAAAGTCAGTGGGTTTTTTGAAGTGTTTTTTGGTTAGATACCTGAAATAAGGTCTGTGGTTAACACAAGCTTAAGAGACTTTCAAGTTTGTTTTAAGACATAAAACACATCAGTCCATACCCTACGTTTGAATTTTGAATACTTTATGTGTCTTTGCAGCCTCGTCATGGCGGTGATGTTAACTGATGCGACCATAGCGTAGGTCATTTGAAACCTAACGTTAGCTTTTTACTTCTGGTGAATGCATTTATGCTTCAAAAATGTTCATTTGTGAAGATTATCTTGCTGAACAACAATGTAAGTACCAAAAACATTTCTTTGCCACGGAGCTTATTGTCTGCAATAATTAATCCAGTGGAAAAATCCCATAGGCCTTTTGATAAGGTATTCAGGGCAACACTAACTTCCATGTCGGCATACAAAAAAAGCCATCCCTGCAGCACTTTATGAAAATTAAAAAATACAATTACTATCATATTACCTTGGTTTAATGCTGTATTGATTGAATATGGTCCTTTTCTTTATAACAAGCACAAAAAAAAATCACCAGTAATATGCTCATGTCTCGGTAGCTAAACTAGCTAGCTAACGTTACACCAACATTGCTGATTTATGCATTATAGACAGCCTCATTTTTTCTAAATGTTATTGGACCAAATGGAGTAAATCTTGATACTGAGACAAGTCATTTTGCGGGTGTTGTGACGCTCAAAAAAGTGTATCCACCGATTTAAAGACGTCTCATTTCCAGTGAAATTCTATGGGAAAAAGTCTGTTTAGGCCTAATGGCATCACACGATTGACCCTGGAAATTCCAGTACCACTGTTTGGCCAGGATGAAAATTGGATTCAAAGCCCGGCTCACTTCCTGGGAGCCTGATTGGACCCAAGTCTCAACCATCGACAAACAACTTTTTGGGTGGGGGATCTGTGTTAAGGTGCAGTCATGTTATTAGCCAGTCACAGCCCAACCTAAAATTAAAGTCTTGATGCTTGTTTCCAAGAAATTAAGTGGCTGTTAAGGATTTGACTTGCTGTGTGTTTGGAGCATTTCAGATACAAATTTCTGCAAGTAGGGTTGTTGTGTATGTCATTCATCATCCATCCATAATGCATATATGTGAAGCTCTGTTTAGACCATGAAACCTTAAAAAAGAGACACTACATGCATCGCAACAGAGAGCAAGACAGAATGCAACATAAGCAGCAGTACAGATTTGGCTTTCCTGGATCATATAGGTCTTCCAAGTCTGACCTGTTTTCAACTATTTTCATCTTACATCAAAAAAATATGGGCTGCATTGTTTCACTGAAATACATGGGTTTCAAATGTGTTCTCTTAAGCAATATGTGTGTGTGGGCCCACAAATACAAACCAAATGGCCGGGCAGCACAGCCAGTGCAACACAAAACTAGTGTGCCATGTACTTACCTTACTATACTTGGCAACTTTCAGTCATTTTTAAAAACAGCAAAACACAATCTTTGCAAATGATTCTTCCCAAAAATATGTGCTCCTTAAAGAAGGAGGGAGCATGGCCTCCACTGTACTTTTGTATTGAGTAACCCCTCACTGTTTGAAAGCACTTTTAAGCTTCAAAAATGTCCTCACCTCAGTCTTCCAACAATTACTGTTGCCTTTTCTCCACAGCTACTACAACTGGAAGACACAGGTGTCCACGTCCAACTCCAGCCCTAACTTCGAGGTGATTTATGACGACCCTAACGGCCTTCTCTTCAAGAACAAAAGGGACAAGAAGATCCTTAATGTGGACCCCTTGGTAGGTTTGTTGTTGTTGTTGTCCTTTGTTTTTAAGCCCTGGGGAGACAAATGTTGCTGCTAATTAGATCAGTTCACCTGTTCCATGGCTGTAAAAATGTCCCAGGAAAGCTAAAAGGCTATGGGGCTGAAACCTCTTTTCAAAGCCTTTTCGCTGCACCATGCAGGGACTTCTTTAGAAACTAATCTTGTTTGCCTCGTGGCTCAGGTGACTAACTTGCCATGCACCCACAACATCCTGTTTGTCTAGAACGGCCATGAGCCTTTTGTTGCATTCAATACTCATTGACGGTTTTAACCATCAATTGAAGAGATTAAAAGTAATTTTTCACCTCTCTGCCAACTTTAATTGTTAGCAAGTCTTAATAAACGTCAGATATCAGTGATTTTCCGACACTACAGACTCCACACTACAAGAGAATCAGTTGGAAAGACAGAAAGAGAGAAAAAGAAATCAGTGGGAGGGAAAGATATTTGCTTTCCACCTGCACAAAGAATGGAGGATCAAGGGGTCGAGACAGGTGCTTCCTCCACACTCACAGTCCGACAGGGGCCCTGGAGGAATAACGACTGACAGACTGTGTTTTTTTTCTCTCCAGTTCCCCTCTTTGCTGGGGGGTAGGGAAGTAGTTGGTGTGGGGCTGAACTATTTTGAAATTGCAGACAGAGCTGTGGGGACTGCGTTTTTGAGGCCAAGCGCCAAAATGGCAGCACAGTGTTCTAGCTGCGGTCGAGCACCGCCCCGACCAGGCTGTCTATTAAAAACACAAGAGAAGGCATAGGAAGCCAGACACAGCAAACCACCCGTGTGCCCAGAACCCAGCTCAGCTCAGCTCAGCCCAGATTGGCTCGACACGGAGCAGCGCAGAACCATCCGGCTTTTAACCCACCATGAGCTCACTAGCTGCTCATGTGGCCGCAGCTCCGCAGCGGAACCTTCCAAAATCAATGCTCACATCAACTCATTTTGGGTGGCTTATTTGTTTTTCTGCCTTTGTCATACTGTGACCGCTTGTTCTGTCCCAGCCAGAAAGTGGGTTGGGGGGTGGAGGATTGTCATATTTTAGCTGTGACACCAGCTTGATTCAAAGTAAAAGTCAGATGACGTGAGTGTTAATGACACATTTTGGTTACCGTAAAAATAGCTGCTTATCATTGAGTTTACCCAGCGTTTCCTATTTTCTTTGAATGCGTCATTTTTTTATTGGTCTATTTTTATTGACGCTCTTTTGAACTTGCAAAGGAAGACTGCTTCACTTATTAGGACACCCACAAGTGTGTTTGAGGTAAAAGTGTAAATTGAGTGTAATGGTTGGCTATGGATCCACTCCCACTAGAAGCCTTTGACACACTTAGCCTTGAATAAATGTTCCCAGCTGGTAGCGGCTTCACATCTTAGCGGTGGGGCCGTGTCAGGTTTGATATTCACAGTAACGCAAAACATCTTGGAAAATTAACAATTACAGTCACTGTCACTGTCACTGACACCTCCTCTTTTAAAGACATGCATTCTGGACACCTGAGGTTTTGTTTAAGAACTTACAGACTTTATCTATGGCAGCTTTTAAAATTTAAACGTTAACATTGAATCTAATGATTGTTTGTAATGACAAAGGTGTCGTTTGTAGCTCCAAACCCACTGAGAACCAACACCAACTCTGCAGCTCTGTAGCTTTTAGCTTCTTTTAGCTCATAGTTCTGGTTCTCCAGTTAAACATGCACGGTGTAGTTGAGTGTCATGTCTCTCATTGACCAACCATATAAAACCATAGGCAGCTGTTTACAGTAAACAAGCTCAGTAAACACACTGTACACTACAAACATTAAACAGTTTGCACATATGAGTATAAAAGAAATAGCCATGATGCAGCCATGTCTCTGGACCACCCTTAGTGACGTGTATATTTCATTTTTAAAAGAGCTGTATACAGCATTCAGAGTGTACCTAGAGTCCCTTTTACACAGCCTGTTCAAGGTGGGAATGTCGCGCCATTCCTCTGCCTTTTCAACCTGTAGAAAAGGTGCGTTCACAGGACGGAGTTGTTAGCCGAAGTTGTCCTTTAAGCTGGTAGCCGATGTAGCAACAATGCTGAATTGATGTCTGTGTAAAAGGGACAGCTGGTAGGACAGGACCAAACATGGGACAGGTGTGACATTTTGACGAAGTGTTATGCGTGCGACCCACTGCCAGAGATTTAAAAAGCAGCCAGTAGCAGTTAGCAGCAAACTCAAAGAAGAACAGCTCCTGAAAATGTCCACAAACTGTGTAGACAATGAGGTATGGGAGCTCCTTACCCTTTGAGCAGAGGACGAGATCAACCGCCATATAACAGGGATGGTAAATGATTGTTATTGTCATGTTTTGCCATTGTTATTGTTAACAAAGGACTGCTCGACACATCTGTTGTATACCACACTAGAGGCAGACACTGACGTGTTACGCCACACCCATTATGCCTATTTTGCTCCCAGAATGCCGGCACACAATCTAAAATCACACAGTGGGGCGGCATTGATGCAGAAGCTAAGCCAAGATTGCCTGCACATGGTTCTCAACATGGAGATGTCTGAGCCTGTGGCTAGCAGCTAACTGTAAAACGACAACAGTGTTAAAAGTAGGGGTTTCCCCAACTAAGAATTTTCATAGTTGAATCTGATTTGACAGATTTATCCTTACTAATCATTACTAATCATCGAATCATGTTGTTTCCCCCCTCATTGATTAATGAGCTCATTTGCGTCAGTTTCTGCTCCAGAGAAAAGAGCTATAACACCCAAATAAACAAATTTAATTCTTCAGTTGGCATAATAAGATAGTGATAATAAAAGTAAAAGGTTTATCATTTTATCTTTATCTTTATTCCTTTCACTTCATCAAGGTATGATGCTCTAGATGAGCGCAGACGCGCTGCAGCCTCATCCATGTCTTTAACAGGAGTCCTTTCTGACTCGTCAGAACTTGCCATTTCATTCACAAATAAACATCCAAAAACATCATCAAAAGGTTTAGAAACAGTTTTCCTTCTTTCTGACTTCAAGTTACTTCATTAATCAACTCAGGTTCATACAAGTTCATCCACACGGACCGTGCGTCACCGCTCTCAATTGTTTGGCCACGTCGGGAAAAAAGTAACCAAATAAAAAAATCAGAGTCTATCAAGAAAACAATCAGCGGTGAAATTCATTTCAAGACACTTCAGGTAAACGAATAATCCTTCAAAAAAGTTTGATTTGAGAGCACATACCTCCTCCAAAGTGTTTGTTTATGCGCTCCGCCACCGTAAATCACCGTAGGCCTCGATGCTGCTCTGATGGTCCTGCAGCACACTCACTCACCTCAGCTTATTTGGATCGAGCAACTGGGTGATTTATTCATGCGTAGTAATGATTATGCCTACTGATTAAACACGTGTCATTTTCAATTTTTTATTAACAGAAATTAGGCTGATGTTTATATCAAAATAGGCTATATATCATGAATTACTAGAAAACAAATACATTCTATGTCAAATCAAGATGTTCAGCAGCAGTGAGCACCCCCATATAGTCAGAATGGTACGGTCTCGTTTCATAACCACATTTTGCGACGATTCGACGGCGAGACTGGCAGTCGAATCAGACTTCTCCTAATTGAATCATCGACTATTCGGGGTCACCCCTAGTTAAAAGTGCTAATTGTGTTAACCTGTGGGGGAACCAGAGAGTGGGCATTATCAAACCCATCTCACTCCAAAGTCGTCGAAATCTGGCGCTTGGGCAGTGACTTGCAGCATCAGACACTGACGATAAAAGCTGGCCATTAACGTTGGTGTGATATGCAGCCGATTGGGTCGCCATTATAAGTTGTTACTAACCATGATGCCATATAAGTTCAGTGTAGAACAGTGTCAATTAGCTAGGCAGTGGTATTCACACACAGGGACACAGGGAAGCTCAGATTACAACACACAGAGGTAGTGTGACTTCATTCTCTGCTTAGGCCTCCACTGTATCTTTACATAGCAAATAGTGGTTTGTTGCTATATTAATGATCTGAATGTTGTGTACAAAACCTTTAAGTAGGGTCATCGCCAACAGCTTGGAAAGCCTGCACTATATTGGGTGTAATTGCTCTAGAGATTGCTTAATGCAGCTTTAAAAACCTCACGTGTCAAGGTGTGTTCAGACTGCAAGTAAAGCAAATTCTAGAGGAAGTGCAAATGTATATAAAGTTAATGGAAAGGTACCATTTATGTGTCCACATGAGCTGAAGACATTAGCTCAAACAAAAAAAAAAAATCATTTAAAAGAGAAAAGGAAAGAGACAGAACAGAGAGGACATTTTGTTAAGTTCTGAGATAAGTCCGAACTGTCACAAACACACATTCAGACATACTTAGTGAATAAACACAGACAGCAAAAACACTGGTTTATGAGAACACAGCAAGGTGGAAATTCACTGTGCATGTAGACTGAATGAACCTTTAGAGACTGTAGATACACTGTCCAATAACTGCTCTAACTCTGTGTTGGGTTCCAGTCTGGTCCTGGTGAGGACTCCATCAGGACATTCCTACCGTCGGACTTCTACATCCATGTCGTCATCTACGACCACAACATCAGGACAGTCTGAGCTTCAGAGGCTGCTGCCGACACATTCATACATATGGCACATATTGGAGAGCACTGGAAGCCTCTAATTTGACTGAGTTGCTGCAGTCATTTACAAACTTTTGCCCTCATATCATGCATGCCATCTGGGTGGAGGTGCCGCAGTGAACAAAATGGCTTTAAACGGAGGATTCCCAGAGGAAGAAGCGGACGGACTAGTGTGACAACTTCAGATTTTGTGACGTTACCCTCCGATAAAGCTGTTGAATAATTTTACTGTGAAGTTTCTTGGCTTTGAATTCTTTTCTCCCACTCAGTGAAGACCCAGTTTGGCTCAGTTTATTTGGCATTTCCCGGAGGAATGGAACCTGCTCGGGGACCCCGGGCTCGTCCCGTCGTTTGGCCTGGCATGTTTTGGGCTGTTTGTCTAAACAAATTAAAGGCGTAAGAGCTTTGAAAGATGATGGGGGTTGCTTTTATGTCCTCCCCCAGGCTGCGGTAGCTCCAATTGGACTGGAAGAATGGGTAATGGGCTTAAAGCATTCCGCATGTTCCCAGATGCAAGGCACACTTTACAGGACATCAAAGTGCTCTGTCATTTACATATTAGTCATTCACTATGGCATTTTTTAATGGAAGGCAACACTACAAATAACCTGCTTTAGGAATTATTTAGGAAGCACAGAAGACTTTTAGAAACGTTTGTCCCTTTCAACTACATTTTCTTTTTTTTGCATTTGTTGTTTGAACACATGGTAGGAATCAGCCCCACCACAAGTAACATTATCTATGTCTATAAGCTAACAAATTACAGGGTCTTTGTTATTTGTTTAGAAATTAGTTTGTAGACTCTGCAGACACATATGGGGGGGGACACTTTTTCCATTTGGTCACAAAGAAACATCCTGCACATGTACAAGCTCTGTGGAGGCATTCATGTGCAGTCCCCAACCATAGAATACTGTGTCCACTTTATGCATACATGAACTTTTAACTCAGCAGTGAACATTTTCCTCCATTTCTTTAATTGCTCCTAAAATGCTGTCAAATGAAAATGTAAACTAAAGGAACAAAGTACAAAAAAATCAGGTTTCTTATAAAGCTGTCACTCACAAAAATGGCATAAAGAGCAACCAAAATACTGTTTTTTTTAAAAAAGAATAGTTTGACATGTTTGGAGGGAAATATATTTATTTACTTTCTGAGAGTTAAGGCCCTTACACATGGCGGGCTGGACGGATACACAACACAAAAATGCAAAATACTCACCCGCATAATAACTGTATATTCCTGTGACAGTTGCAACAAGTCTGTCATTATTGTGACGTTAGGACGTGATGTAGGTTCTGCACAACATGATTGGTTGATGCCTTAACTCGAGGTCAGGAAAACCGACCTTGTTCCCCCAAAAACATTATGTTGATTTTTTTGCTGTGTTTCGCTGCGTACTTGTGTTCTGTGTCAAAGTGTTCATGATATCAATCTCAAATCAAATGCACAAGGATAAAATATAACCAGCAGTCAGCTTGGGGAGTATCACCATATTACAGTACACCACAGTAAAAAATAAAGACGCTCATCTTTCTATTAATCTGTTGTTAGAGAGGCTGTATTGAGGATGTATTGTATGTAGTGCACACCACGCGCCACCAGAGGTCAGTGTGGTGTAACAGGGGATAACGTTACAGGACTGTTAGTCTGAGTGGGCGGAAGTTCGCTGCATAGATCAGCCTCTCATTGGGTGGAACGAGCCACCCGCTGAAGTTCCGCCCTACCACTTCCGGTTGTGTAGCAGTTTTCAACCGTTTTCAACACGTCCTTTACTAACTTTTGCGGTGTTTGATCTTGCGGGGATGTAGCCATTTTTCTGCCATGGTTTGCGTCCTGTAGGCGATATTTTTGTGGGTGTGTTACACCAAAACCTGTTTCCCCCCGGCAATATTTTTGCAAGCGCACCGTTGCTGTGGCACCGCCCAGAATGATTGTGATTGGTTGAAAGAAATACAAGCAGCTGGGGCATTTTTTTCTCCAATCTTAAAGTGAGAGTCGGCCCAGCCAGACCTTTCTTTTCTTGAGAAAGGTCAGGTGAGCGAGACTACAGGACTGTAAACAGCAGGCTGGCAAAAAATGCATATTTTCACATCTAACTGTGATTTAAGGGTTTACTTTGATAAAACCAGAGTTTGTTATTTATGGAACAGGCGCACTGAATAACTAAACGACTAACCAAGATGATTTTGGTGAGATTAATTTTGTTTCTGTCATGTTTGAATGAAGCTAGTCGGTGGGTGTATGATTGTATTTTTCTGTTTAAGAAGGAAATTGTGTGTAAGAAAATTACTTCCTTGACATTTTCTCGAGTTTATTGTTTATTAGACCGAAGAAGATAAGAGCACTTGCAGAATGTTGGAAAGTCACAGGTGGGAGGTGGAGGTTAGTGCTGCATGCTCATATCGTCATATACCATATACCCCGGTGAAATTTCAGGAAGAAAGGAAGGTATGAAAAAATAGATACTGCCCAAGCCTAGCCCTCGGTGTGTAAAGGCCTTTAGATGTCTGTATGGTACATATTACACTACAGCCAGAAGCCATGTTAGCTTAGCTTAGCTTCAAGACTGGAAATAGGGAAATCCACCCATGAGCACCTCTCAAGCTCAACGATCGGCATATCATATTTGTTTAATCCCAACCAGGTTTCACTGCGAAGTTGTTGAAATGATAAGCTGCCAGTTGCTGTTATAGTTTAATGGCGCCCATTGGCATCAGAGGGAAACACAGTGGGACAAGAACGAAAGTTAAGGCAGCAGAAGTCCGAGTGGTGCAGGAGGAAGGGATGGTGGATGGGTTCAACAAACCTCGACTTTCATCCGAGAGAGCGCTGTTCGTGTCCCATAAGATTATAAAGCCAAAACCTGTTCCTTCTTCCTGAACCGAACCACGTGCATTTATTTTGAAAGACACTGTATGTAAACGTTAAATTTCCTGTGAAAACAGAAGTGTATTTTGACAGAAGACAATGCATGTAACAAGCAGAACTTGACACCGTGTCCCAGAACGTCAACAACCAACACACCCAGGGTACCTTGCACGTCGTATCTGGACTTATTAAGTCCATGACCAAACGTGGATATGTGACGAGGTCGGAGTGAGAATGTGTTGTTAAACCATGAAAAAGACAAAATTGTGTTTTTTCAGGGGGTTGTACCAGACCATCAAGCTAAGCTAACTGTCTTCTGGCTGTAGCTTAATATCTAATGCTTAGACATGAATTTTTTAATTGTGTCATCCAAGTCTCTGCCAGACAGTTTATTTCCCAACATGTTGAACTGTTCCTTTAAACCAACATAGTGGCGGCCATGCTTCCCACTGTACCAATGTCCCCTGCATCCATTCAGTTAAAATTTATCTATAAGAGTTACAGGGTTTAAACAAATGAGTTCATCCTTACACAAAGCTCTTATATCCCTCAGCCGCCCGCTCACCAGAGCAGTGTTTCACCGGCTGCATCTGTTTGTCTGTTTTGACTGAATCGGACTCTTTTTGGCCTCATTGGAACAATATGTGTGGTGACATGGGGATGTGGGTTCTGGTTCTGTAAAAGCAGGGGTTTGGGGAATGGGGGTCTGGTTTGGGGTTTTCTTAGTCAGTGGTTTTTTTTAAAGTAGATCTGAGTTCTGGCCTGTTTTCGGATGATGATGAACAGTTTGTGAAAGTCTTCAAAAGCTATAAAAATCAATGTGATTAACAGGCTGGACAGGAGGTGGCTTTTAATTTATTTCCTCCTTCTCCAACTTCCAAATGTGTTTTTGTTGTTGTATGTCTATAAATACATTTTTAAATGTCTATTTTGGGCTGTTTTTATCAAAGCAGCTCTGGAAAAAACAGGTTTGTGTTTGCTGTCGTCTCAACAACACCAACAGGACTAACAAGGAAAGGAAGCAAATTCAAGGGTTGTGTTGGGAATGTCATTTCCTCTTTGACCTCTGTCTAAAAGGCCAGATTTAACCTCAGGGGGAGGGCTGTCCACCTGACTGTCTCACTATCTCACTATCCGCCCTGCTTTGTTTTTTATCTGTCGGGAGGAAGAACTCAAACCGGCTGGGTGGCAAATGAACATCTCACCCTCATCTGCAGCTGTTTAGATTTACAGACCGCAGCTCATTCATGTGGCTCAGTGATGGTGATGAAACATCCTGCTCTGCTCTCCCTCCCTGAAAGTGGCATCAGTCGCTCTGAACACCTACCAATCAAAACAGCAGATGTGCACATGAAAAAATAGCCAATTACGCTGCCGGTGGATCGACAAACAAGCAAGTGCCGCTCATGAAATGCAACTTTTTATGTGCCTCACCTCTGTGGAAGACCAAACCTCAAAAAAACAAGTTGCTGGAACTCACCCAGACAGATGATGTGTCTGTAAATAGTAAAGATTTCACAATAAAGTCTAATTTAAATGGTTATATCCCTCTTCATTTCTTTTATTGGGCTTTTAAGCTGTTGGGGTTTTCACTGAAGCATGGTTTTATTAGTTTGAGGCCTGACTTGCCCCTAATATACACAACATGAGGTAACGAGGTGGATTCAGACTAAACTTGGCCTTCGATAGTAAAGGGACTACTTAGCCTTTTTTATGTAACAAGCTCACTTTCACTTTCTGCTGGCCTTACACCAAACAACTTTTCAAGCAATTTCACTGTCAGACAAATTTCTATTGTTGGAATAAAACCGAAGCACTTTCCTGGAGTTGTGGTGCTCTCCTGGGAACTTGTTCGTTTGGTGTAAGGTGCTCATAAAACTCAGTCAGAGCTGTCTCAATAAGTCAGTATTTTTCTCGTTGTGACATTCCTAGAAAATCAAACATGTTTGATATTATCATATGTTTGTAGTCTTGGCTCATGCAAATAGTGAAGTTCAATGACACGAACATTGTCAACCCATAGCTTCACTTTCTCCAACACCAAACAGGAGATTGCAAATTAGACAGAGGGGAGTCCGGAGAGGTGCAAGAACGTGAGCAAGTTTCTGTTCTCTTGGACTGTGGAGAAGGTTAAGAAACTTGTGTTTTGGAGTGAACAAGAGTTGGTATTTAAATTTGGAGTGTATCTGATCCACCAACCAGCAACCGTTTTAGCGAGAAAGCTTTATTTTTGTAACAGTTCGCCTCTCATTCCCACAGTCTCCTAATCAACAGAGGCTGATAGCGAGTTAAGACAACAAAATCCAAAGTGTAAAGTTTGTAAGCAAATACACTTTCCTCTTTATGGATTATTTTGATGCCGGATTGACAAGAATACTGTCGACACATGAGGCCTTTTATCTTGTGTTTCTGGAGTTATGTGTATTCGCTGACAGGTAAAGAATCTTTAATATGTCGCATTTCTTAAAGGGAGTTTGGTGTAGTATTTTCCACCAGGAGCAGGATGGGAAATAATCTCTAAAGGAATCTAGTTGTAGTCTTGCAAATAGTGACCCTGCAAAATCTTTTAGTGTGTGACTAAAAACTTTCCAGGGTTAGGTTTTAGGTTTGCTAGGGTCAGATTTCAGTGTTTTTAATGTCTTTCCAGTCTTCTGGTGTATAGTCGGCATTAATTAATTCGGCCTTTTTGTTAACACAGTTGCATCTTTCTGTGTTTGACATTTCATATGCAGCAACAGTTGAGGCTCAAATGGTTTGAAACAAACTTGCCAGGTTCTGCATCCACCAAAATTCAAAGCAAACCATGACACCGTCATCAATTTGTCATGATCATTCTATTAGCCTAATGATGACAGTGTCACTAGGAACATGCTAACAGGTGTAACAGGCACCTACATGTATCTGAGGGCTGGTAACAGTTATGCTGTTCAGTCAATTTGAGGATAAAGTCTGAATCAAATGACAGACTTTGGCCTGGTGTGTAAAACTTGAGGAATTCATCAGTACACTTGACTGAATGAATTCACCCTCATTCTAACTGTTTCATCAATCTTCATTGTCTGGCAGCAGCAAAACAAGTCTGATGTGAATCACTTGTGTTCACAATTGTGTATCTTTTTAAAGGATACAGTAGCACTACAGTTTAAACCCAATAAATGGTCTAATTACTTCTAGTCACAGTTTCCTTTTGTGAGTTGCTCCATTCACAATGTGCTTAGTACTCTAAGGTTTTGCTTAAAGTTTTTGGCTTTTTGGCTATTTGTAAACAATATCACCAGCGCAAGTGAGAGCCAACCCCAGCTTTGTCCATTTGGTGATTGGCACCGCTAAATTTGTGAGTTGTTTGGCCCTGCATCTGCGATTTTCATAGCTTCATCTTTGGTGCATGCTGCTTATGGTCTGATACCTGGTCGCTACCTTTTTGTAAAGTCCAGACTTCACCTGTACTGAGGAACGTCCACAACAAAATAAGAAGATAAGCACAGCCAACACAGGTCTAGCAGGTCAAAAGTGATCATTAAGAGGGAATACATCTGCATGAGTGTACTTGCATAGTATAGCCTATACCTTTAAGATTTCATATCAACATAGCTGTTTAGACGAAGCTGTTTTGATGAGCTCTTTCAGTCCAGTCTTTCAGATGAGCTCTTGAATTAATGGTGTGCACCTCAAAATGTACAGCAGGCCCCATGTTAAAGGGCAGGTTCACATTTTTCAAGTCTGTCTCATAACAATACTCAGGTGTGCGTATGGACATGGAAACAGTTGTTGCTTGCTGTGATCATTCCTCCTGATTATTCTGCTCATTAAGAGATTTATTTGAATGTAAGTGATGAGGGGCAAAAACCACAATATGTGTTCTGTGTAAAAAAAAAAAACCGTGAAACTTTATTTGACGCAAATAAGAGGCTTCAGCAGTCCAACTTAGGGACAGTTTGTTTGTTTCAAAGACTGGAGAGGGACTGTTTTTTATTTTGGCTCAGGGGAAGTTCTTAAAAATGTAAATGGTTAAATTTTGTATTTGTTTTACCAGAATTTGGAAGGCATGTTTCCTTTAAAAATCACCAAAATTACACAATTTTTCATAGCCAGGATCTGCAAAAACCTAAATTATCATTGGATTTTCAATTTTCCTATGGTCTTTGGACACATCATGTGACAAATGCTTTCATCTCCTTCAAAGGGTAGGTTTTAAAAATCTAATAACTAACTATGGTGGAGGGAGGGTCATGCATTTCCCGCTAGTCGCTCAGAGAAAAATATCTGTAGCTCCGGGGAGGGTCAAAAAAAAGAAGAAGACACACCTCAGCCACCCCCTCCTCTGATAATTACAGAACAGTCCCTTAACAATCCAAGTTGGTGTCTTCCAATGTTATGGTCATGGCTCATTTATGTTTTCTACTGTCTCCTTTATGTCAGTCTTACAGCACCATTGATGGATTGATTTTACTGAGTTGATCCAGGTTCTCGCTGACGTCACGTTTAAATCGATTCTCTCCTGCCCATCTCCTCCCAGTTGAAAGGCTTAAACCCGTACAGTGTGTCGACTGCTATGAAGGACATGGCATGCTAATATTATTGCCATCAGATGTCCAAAGGCGGGGAAATGCCCTAATCATTTCCTCCCGAGTGCCCCTGAAAGAGAAACCCAGTGGCGGGGGGTGGAGGGCGGCTGGGTGTTTAAACCCCGCCTGGATGGGCTGTTTTGGGGGGGACGGTGGGGAGTGAGGAGGAGGGGGGGAGCACAGTACAGCATCCGGATCGGACCGTGATGGTACAGGATGTGTGTGCTTAACTCCATTGAACTAAACTAAATAGGAGAGAGAGCCTTTAATGCCGACAATAAGCCGCTTCATTCAGCAGCGCGGCCCAGACGCACAGCTCTGCGGAGTAGAAATTACGCACGGAGGGGCTGCTCTGTGGCAGTGTTTTAGATATTCAAATCAGTTCAATAAATCGGCGGAATGTTCTTTAATAAAATATTTTTCAATGTCGAATCAACTGAGAAAACAAACCTCCTTCAGCTCCTGGTGACATTAGATAATTTGTCCCCGGGCTTAGTGTGCGTAAAAGTTTCTTCAACAGGAAACTCTCTCTCTCCTCTCTCTCTCTCTCTCTCCATCTGTGTGTGTGTGTGTGTGTGTGTGTGTGTGTGTGTGTGTGTGTGTGTGTGTGTGTGTGTGAGGAATACCCAGCTGGTCCCACAAGTCCTATAATACCAAGCACAACATGCTTTACCTTCAATGAAAGCTGAGACGGGGGGACGGTTGACTGCTGCTCCTGAAATCAGCTCAGAGCTCGGATACAAAACCAAGAGCGTCGCTCTTTTAGCAGCTTAGTTCTCCCGCATCTGTTCCACTACACCTTCTGCTGTGCGCCGGAACTTTTATCATTCACTGACTGCAGCGCGTTTAGACCTGCAACTTATCAAAAGCAGAGGCACAGCTTGGATAACGCTCTCATTTTTTCCTGCAAACCTTCCTCTCTTGCTGTGACTGGTGTCAAAGGTGATGGTATCATTCTGTAACTCCCCAGGTGATGGTATGTCTTTTTGGAGATAGGGGCCACTTTTGGAAACGCGCTAGGTTTTCCACAACTGTTATTTTTTCTGCTGCAACCTTCGCTTTGGCTCAAGCATGGCTCTCTACTCTCGGTTTGTGGTCGTGCTGCTTTACGGATGGAGTTATCTGTGCGTTGGATACTGCGCGATGCTGAAAACAGACAATTTCCCCGAGAGACGAAAGGTGGATTTTACGCATTCGGAGGATAAAAAGCACCCAGAGAAACACGAGCAGGATCTGCTTTTACAGGATACAATGACGGAACACATGCAGATGCTTTACGCGAAGTACAACCGGGCTGGGTTTCCCTTCAAGGACGGCAACACTGTCCGCAGTTTCAAAGCGCACTGGGGTAGGTATCCAAACTTTTACGCATGTTAACTACACTGAATTCAGCCTGTCTAAAGAGAGCACACATACATGTCTTGTTGTATATTTTCTTGTTACTATAAACTTTATCTGGTTAAGTCTTGTGCCTTGCTCAGTTGGAATTATCCGCACATTACAAGTGCACCGTGGCCACACAATGTGTGCGCAATTTTGGCACATTAAATGCGCATTTTAGTATAAACTATTTACTGTAATAATTTAGTTTTTAAAACTGACAGAACAACAAAACCACATGAAACCCGTTGCCGTTCACGTGCTGGTTTACTGAGCTGAATCTGAGATACACCTGTTGATCCAGTCATGGAAATGTGATCAACCTGTTACTCCTTCCCCTGCGCCAGGATCAGAGATTCCACATCAGATCTCTGCATGCAAAATCGTTTGCCGACACATTTGTTTTCTCACCTTCAGATTTTACTGTCAGATAGTCTGGATAGATTTTCCCTCGGGCCAGCATCTGGCTGCTGGCCAGCTCCTCTGTGCTGCGGCACAACTGGAGAGTTTTCACCGCAGCGAGCTTCTGAGTTTTAAAGGTGTTTTTTTAAGAGTGTTTTCTCCAGGAAATAGTGACTTTAATCTTATAAGCTCTAAATTGCTCACAGGCCACGCTGTGTTATTATCACTTGGACGTGTGTAGTTAAGACGAGCAGTTTGCACATCGGGTCAAAGTTTGTTAGATTATACTGCCTCCTATCGCCTGGTAGTTGTATGTCATGAAATATAAAGGGTCAGTTCACACAAATTACAAACCTACTTGGTCACCCCAAGTGGTGTCAAGCCATGCAGAAAATGTTGGTTTTATTTGTCCAGGTTTTGAGATCTTGAGGTTTCTGTTTCCATCACACAACAACAGAGATGAGTGGGATTTCAGATTTGTAGCTTAAAGCTTATTAAATATTATATTACAAGGCAACAAATCTTTCTAGAAACACAGTCCTGTTTCCTTTAGATGATCCACAGACCTCACTGTGGAAAGTTTTTAGTGAAATTACAATCCTTCGAAGAAATAGTACATTTTAATTCATTTTATTTTATTGTGAATTATCCAGAGTAACTGGGACATATTGAAAAAGAGATACCGCTGTTGAACTTTTAGAACCACAAACCAATTTCCATTGTGTGCAAGGCAGACAGCTTAGAGACAGATATATTTCATAACCTGAGCAAATAAAACTAACCGAATCTGCATGGCTGAGAAAATGTATTTTTGTGCACTATTATGTGTTTAGTTCTTTAGATCCTGCACAACTGTGTTGCATTGTATAAATAATATCACTCGTTATATACACAGGTACGATAAACAAGAAGCAGCTGCAGATTTTCAACCTCACCTCCCTCACCAAGTCAGAGGACGTTCTGTCAGCCACTCTTCATTATTACATTGGAGACCTTCAGAACAGCACCCAGGGCTGCTCCAGGTCCAAAAGCTGCGGACGCCACGGCCCGAGGAGGCACAACCACATCCACATGGTCATCTGGAGCTTCGCCTCTGTGGATAACAAGATAAGGACTCTAGGACACTTTCGGATCAATGTGTCCACCCTCTACAGGGACTTCATATCTTGGCAGTGGAAGGACATAACTCGTGTGGTCAACCAGGCCAGACACCACGACGAGCTGCTCATTGGAATCGATGTGGCCTCACAAGGACCTCAGCCATGGAAGAAGCTCCTGTCTGACCGCTCACCCTACATCCTGGTCTACGCCAACGACTCTGCCATTTCAGAACCTGAAAGTGTGGTAGCCACCCTCCAGAGACATCACCCGGTGGGAGGGGAGGGCTCCATTTCACACAGCTTCCAAAAACTGGGACTGCGTGAGCGAAACAACACTGAACAAGAGCAGCCGCAGCCCAGACACAAGCGCTCGGTGAACGTTCTGCTCCCGTTGCAAAACAATGAACTTCCCGGGCCAGAGTATCCGTACGAGACAACCGGGTGGGACGAGACGAGTCCATATGAACCTTTTGAAAACAAGCAGGCCCGTCGGCCGCGTAAAAAGACACGCAAGAACCAGCGGCACAAGATGCCCCTACTGCAGTTCGACGAGCAGACAATTAAAAAGGCAAGAAAGAAGCAGTGGAACGAGCCCAGGAACTGCGCTCGGAGATACCTGAAAGTGGACTTTGCTGACATCGGATGGAGTGAATGGATTATATCACCCAAGTCGTTTGATGCCTACTACTGCTCAGGGTCCTGCCAGTTCCCCATGCCAAAGGTGAGACTCCTGTAGTGCACGAATACAGGGACTATCAAATATGTTACAGTTTCAGCAGCCTGTTGCACCAGCTAAGCTTTCTCTTAAGTTAAGGGTGTAACATCCACACGAAATGATGCGCTGAGAACTAGTTTCATTGTTGAACTGTGTCAAAGTTTGGTTGCATCACGGAGACGTAAGGTTCATCTTAGCTATTCAGACGTAAAGCCCAAACTAACCAATATATTGTTGCAGAAAATGACATTTTGACTTCCTGTAGCCAATCAGCGAAAATCAGTCGTATGTTTAACGGCTAAAAATAGCTAACGCTAATCCATCAACAACAAAATACTTAAACTGGGACGACATTATGATTAGGTGATAACTATACGACCTTAACCTACAGCTAGCGCAGAATAACAACAGTAACATCGAGTTATGAAACCGTCAACTATAACACAGATTGATAAATCTCTATACTAAGTGAAAAGTTCAACGGCATGTTTAGCTAATGTTGGCAGCATGCTACTGTAGCTGTGCAACATATTGAGTGCGTGCAACATGGATTCTTTTGACCAGTTATCTCACAAAAGTGGCGACACAGCTGACAGCCTTACTTATTTGTCACCGTGCATTATTGGTCACGTGTTTCTCTCTGCACTGCTCCATGTGCATATTCCCCACAATTCAATGGCGAAGAACTCTCAGAATTGACTTGTCTGCCATTTCTGTTGTGGCGTTTTTATCCACCTATAAAGAGATGCATTTCTTTACGTTGACACTAGGGGCAGACTTCATATAATACACAGAAATACAGACATGAAATAAAACAGTGGAAACAAGGTGTAAGGGTCGCACCGGCTAAAATATTTCAAACAAAGGTATAAGTTACAACTTAAATCCTAAACCTAGCCGTTAGCAGGTGTAAAGTCCCCTGTAGAATAGTGATTGTCCTAGTGTATCGTTTTAAATGGTGGGATAACTTTGGAGGAGGAAGAGGAGCAAATTATACCGGCTGTTTTACATCGGCATGGTGTGTCCACGATACATCATACCCACAAGTGACCTTGTGCTTGAAATTGAATGTTGTCCTCTGTAAGGATGCAAAATAAAGTGCATGCATGTAAAAATAACACATGTACTGTAGGTAAGTAGAAAATTACATTTGAATATCATCTCTGCCACACTGGCAAGCAAATACATAGAGTTCGATAACTTTCTAATTAACAACTACTGAGTTATCACAGTTTGCTAGTCCTCAATCCGTACGGGCTTCCAAGTTTGTTCAGTTTTGTCAATGTACTCGAAGAAAAAGTGGACTGGAAAAAATGGAAGGAGTTTCACTGGAGATCACAGAGGTTCTTAGAGGACTGAATAGACTTCTGATTGAGTCGTATTCATCCACAGAGCTATGTGGACATGAGGCATTAAAATGTTAGTAGAGCGTAAATTCAGACCTAAATTTGAGTTTGAACAGAAAAAATAGACATATGCAACTTGTGACAGTGGGTTCAAGTGGACATTGCTTTGGTTTTTTGGGGTCACAAGCCAAAAGAGTTGGCAACCACTGTTCTTTTAGGTCATACTTCCCCATACTTTCTCTGCTGATAGATTACAAATTGTAGTCCATGTTTGTCTGTCTTTAAATTTAAAGCCCAGTTTCAAAGTCTACGTCAGCTTCTTAAACTGTTTTATCACCACGTATATTTATATAAATGTGTTTGAGACGCTCTGGTTCAGAAGCTTATCACCAACTGGCGCACTAACACACATCATATGACACCAGACCTCCACATACAGTTCAAGAGACATGAATCTGCAGCATGTTAAACATTCACACAGCTTTTCTTTCAGGCAGTATGGTATATATTATGGAAATAGAACATTCTACGTTGACCTATCGGTACATCTAGCCATTAAGCTTTCAGTGCCTCGTTTACTGTTGCTGTTACTGCTCTGTATTATGTTCACTTGGATAACGTTAACATCAGAAGTCCCTGAAGCCTTTCTGTCTTTTATTATAGATGATAATGCCAAAGAAACTGACAGAAACGTATGCCATCTGCTTTAATCTTCAAGTGGCAGGATAAACTGGTTACAGTGGGAGCACCGCTGGAAGTTCTGCTCATGCTTTTATCTTCTGCAGTGTATCTTAAGATCATTAGGGCTTTGAAGATATGCATCAGAGTTAAATTAATGTAATGTAAGTAAGAAAGGTAAGTCCACAGTGAAGTCTTGCTGCTCTAAACATGCAGAGAAAGCGGTCCAACTACAGATGATGTCATCTAAATGTAAGAAAAAGTGAGAAATAGGAGCAGGTGCTGACCTCAACACTTACAATCAATAAAACTTTATAAGCATGCTCAAGGAAAACAAACAAACCTTGAAGGACGTAATTCTTGAAAGTATCATTTCAGTTGCAGGAAACATGATATGTGGTTTTACACATTTGAAAGAACATAAAAAGAAGTGAGATGAACAGAGACACTGATGTTAAACATCAGCTCCCCTCGCAGCTCGTGGCCCCGTTGACAAGATAACATCACAGGTATTTTAAACATGGCCGGAATGCACGAGATCCTTCCACTTAATTCATTACCTCGGAGTCGCCCGCCTTTGTAGTCGGACGTAATTAGTCCCAGAAGTAGAGCCTGGGGCCCAACGCAACCCCCTCCCTCTCCTGTAGGTTTGCTGCCTGTGATCCTGTGATGTTGTTTCTCCTTTGTCAGGCTGAAGCTTTAGAAGCTGCTTAATAGCTACTATTAAAAGGTGCCCTGTCACTTATTGGAGCCTGCAAAGACATGAAGCAGCTGAGCAGGTGTGTGTGTGTGTGTGTGTGTGTGTGTGTGTGTGTGTGTGTGTGTGTGTGTGTGTGTGTGAACTGTGACGGATAGAGCCAGCACTCAGCATCTGCCTGCAGCGGCTTGTTGGATGCACTGAATAATAGTTTGTTAATGATGCGTCATATGATAGAGATGAGATGCTAACTTGGAAAATGAGCCATGACTGGTGGTTGCTGTGCGATCCAGAAGATAGATGCTTCAGTGAAATGCATAGAGCTCTGTGAAAGATGCTCTCTGGGACTCTTAACGTTAATTTCTGGGATATTATAACTTGATCTTATTTTCATAGATTTGGTCAGCTTTCTGTTGGTTTAGGTAACAAAGTACTCACAGAACTAATTGCTCAGATAGCATCGCTACAGCGCAGTCAGATGGGGCACAAAGTGAGCAGTCTGATGATCAGACAGGTTGGAAACAAGCCAACAGTTTATCAAGATTATCTAAACCACTTTACTTGGACCTGAAATGTCTGTAATGATCCCTCATTTCACAACTGTGGCAAGTACGGTAGATCGTAATCAGACCAGGAACTTGGTCTTTAAACTGTGACAAATGTGAATAATGGACATTTTTTGCTGATAATCTTATTACATATTTTATTTTTCTCTTCCAAATTAGTTTGGTTTACGTGGTAAAAAAGATTTTATTTATCTCTGTCTGACTTTTTCTTAGCAGCGTCTTTCTGTGATGCAGAAAGCACGCTAGTTACTGCTTATAAAGCACCCACATGCACCATGAAGGCCTTTACATATTGTGGCCATTTCTTTCCTGTGATTATTTTGTACATATTTTTCCAGTCGTTTTTTTCATATAACAAATGCCACTTTTTTTTATCTTTGAACACTGATGTATGTCTTAGGTGGCAATCTAAAGTTGCATTTAAACCGAGCATATATAGTATGTAGTTCAGTTCAGTTCAGTATGCTTTTTTTCCGTTCCCACAGTGGAAAAGTTGAGGATGGTACCAATGAACCGTTCCGTACCATCCCCATGTTTGGTCCCCCCTCTGTTGGGGTACCTAGCACACAGATCTGGTACTAAAAGGTGGAGCTGTGAACACTGCAGTCTGATTGGTCAGTAGAGGACGGTCACTCTGCTCAGGGCTGAGTTGTGGCTGGTTTTGAGGCTCATGTAACCACTGTTCATACTGTGGAGAGTTTTATTAGTAAACTGTAACTATGAAATGAAAGGATGTTTTGCTGCCTCTCACAGCAGCTGGAGTCTGAGAAAAATAATTCACTGGGCCGACTGCCGGTAACTTTTAAGGTGGAACGTTTACTTGTAATGTTACTCAATGCATGAGTTGATGACGTGAATCCATCAACTTTGACCATCACTTTAGTTTTTATATGACACACACTTTTAGTAACGAGCGGCGTTCCTGTGGGCTACAGCAACACTAAACCCCTGAGCTTGCCTGAGAAGGACTAAATGCACAAAGCTGCTATTTTTAAATATCCCATGGAGAGAGATTCTCACTGCAGCCTGTTCTATTTTGTTCTGAAAATGTCGGCATGCAGCCTCGTTCTGTGGACGATAAACCAGGTGCAGACTTCCCTCTGTGTCACCGCTGATGAGGAAAAACAGTAGGCCCGTTTCCACCGCAGGAACTTCGGGGTAATTTTACTCGGCCAGGGCCGTTGGTGCATGTCTCCACCGCAGGAACCACCCCCGAAGGACAGAGTTCCGCAACTTTTACAGGGGCTAAACAAGTCCCTGCCTCGGGGTAGGTACTCAGAACGGCCCCGAAAAACTCCTGGCTGGGGCTTGGGGGTTTACTTGGTGCTGATTGGATATACTCAAGGCGGGATGTGATGTTTTATAATTACTATGGTTATCGTAGATTAGCTAGGCTAACTGTTAGCTGTTAGCCGTTAGCAGTGTCTGTAATAACTCAGTAACTCAATGTACGGTCTGTGAAAAAAATATTTTTTCCAGCGGATATCTTAGTTACAACATGATTGAGCTAGCAAAGCAGTTTTGTGTTGCTATGTGTGGTATGTATTCAGTTTTGGGAAGTCACGATCATCAAGCATCAGTGGCTGCAGCTGACAGGGACAGCTAACAGCAGCAGCAAAGCTAACATCAGGACGTCATCTGTTAAAAGCCTCCCATTGTCGGATATGACATGAAACTACTCCAGTTAGCTCAATCATGTTGTTACTAAGACATCCGCTGGAAAAAATATTTTTTTTCACGGACCATTTATTGAGTTATCGAGTTATTACAGACACTGCTAATGGCTAATGGCTAACAGCTAACTACGTCCCTACGTCACCCTGGTCAAAATGGTCGCGCAACGATTACGTCACATACAGAGCCCGGTAACTTTACAGGAACCTTCCTCCTACTCCGCTCTCTCAGCGGAGACACGGCGGTTGAGAGGGCCGAGCGAGAGGACGTTCCTGTAGTAGTTCCTGCCCCCCAAATAGTACCAGGAACTTCTTCAGTGGAAACGGGCCTAGTGAGAGCTGGACGGAGCAGAGAGTGACAACAACCCCGCCCACATTTAAGAGTACTGTTTGTGGTGGAAATGCGAGGGTCTAGGTACCATGTCTGGGTTACTGTTGGTTCCCTTGGGCCCCAGTTCAACTGCACTGCCTGCACTGTCTATTTATATATATGCCCGTGCTTGGCAATTAACTTGAGTATTACGGAAAGGAACAAAACTATAGAAATAAACCAAAGCCATTAGAAACATTCTTTTTAAGTGGATCTAAAAAGTGAGTTAAGCAACAATATGCAAAACAAAAAACCCTACAAAGTTATCAGGAATTGAAGGCATCACTGAATCAAAGGAAAACTTTCACAGTGACTGGTTTTAATAATGGAACTTTGCAATACAAAATTTTGTGGCACATCCTTTTCTGGATATATTTTTTAAAAGGAGATCGCTGTTAATCCTCTTTGTCCCTTTGCTTTAGGCTCTGAAGCCCTCGAACCACGCCACCATCCAGAGCATAGTGCGGGCAGTGGGCGTCGTCCCAGGCATCCCAGAACCGTGCTGCGTCCCAGAGAAGATGTCCTCCCTCAGCATCCTCTTCTTTGACGAGGACAAGAACGTGGTGCTGAAAGTCTACCCCAACATGACTGTAGATTCTTGCGCCTGTAGATAGTTTTTTTGTCCTTCAACGCCTGTTCACATAAAACTCATGTCACATAGAAAAGAAAAAAAAAAATCAACACATGCAGCCAAACGACACTCTCTCCTCCTGTCTAGTCTTACACTCACTCTCAAACACCCATTGAACACAGCTTCCCTTTTGCACTGGAGGAGAGTACTGCCTGTTGTTCCAGGTGAAGAGGAGACTGGTCTGTTCGTTGGAAGGAACGGATCGTGTGAGTTATCCTCGTGGAAGATGACTGGAATGGAAATCTCCATGCTCCAATTTCACCACCGGCACCACTGTTTATCTTCATGTCTTTATCATCGCTGCTCAGTTATCCGTTGGGCGATAGCACGGTGATGGAATCATAAACTCACCAGCAAGATACATAAATACCGATCGAGGCCTAAGAGACAGAAACTGAAGGAAAAATCACTTTTCAGGAAAAATGATCTCAGTTTGAACTGATGCCTCTGAGGGGGGGTCATGCTCATCTTTCTCTCCTCCACAGCTTGAGGTTGTCTTTGGTCATTACCACCAAGTCACCTATGCTCGCACTTGCATGGTTTTTGTTACTATTTGTATGTATTTATGTCTGTACTATCACTGTGTTATTCACTATATGAAAAGTTATTGTATAATTATTGGCTTGGCTGCTATAGAGAGATATATTAAATTCCAAAGCCAGACTTGTGACGTAGACGGTACAGTAGATAGCCGTACATATTTGTGTTTAGATCACTGCTCCATTGTTGTACAGAACCCACATCTTAAGAGTTTATTATATGCGGAAGTGTAAGCTACTTTTCATTTGTGGTCTTCATTGACAGATGGAGTTTTGGAGGAGACCTCATTATACCTTTGCTTCGCCAAGAAAATGTTTAACAAGTAAACTTCAGATTTGATTTTGAAAGATAAAGGGACATATCAAAAGGAGAAAGTAATACAGTGAACTGTCATCATGTGTTTATTACAAGTGTAAAACCACAGGACTCTAAAAGCCACTTGATGCTTGGGTGGAATTCTGAAACCCCTGTTGGACCTGATAAGCTCGGAAAGAAATCAAATAAGTCGTGGAACTTGGCAGGCATAAAAGATAAATACTGGTGGTTTCAATGAGCCTGATATCAGACTGAACCTATTTGCTTTTGGCATTAAAGTTCAGGACATGTTGCCATTACATTCTGTTCATTCTGTTTAAAATTATGTTTTGTATTTTCAGCATAGAATGACATTTATGTAGAAAAAATATTATAAACTGCCAAAATGCTTCTAGAAATATTTTTTTAACAACCAAGACATCAAAAAAGTCACTATCAAGTCAAGATACACTGCTGGTCTGGAATCAGTTTTACTCTACAGATCCTGAAAGGATACGTTTGGTATTTTTCAACCTGGACCCTATTTTCATGTTTTTGTGTTTATGTGATTACAGGGAGCCATAGTCATAGTTTTTAAAAAAAAAAAATTGGTCCAGTATCGAGCAGCAAAGCAGGCTGCAGTCTAAATATTCGGGGCATGTTCACACCGTCAATTCACGTCCACTGAAAGTGCTTGTTTTTGTCACTGACAGGCTTAGATTGTTATTCTAAGTGTCTGACAACTTGTAGAAAGAGATGGACCTTTTTGTTAAAGAGTAAAATGCTTTGTGTTTAATCAGAAACAGCTCCGAAATTGCCATTGCCAAAGCCACCAGACTCCATTTAAATAAGTAATTTTTATCATCTTAAAACACTCTATTTGAAGTTGACAGACACAAAATAAAGCTCACAAAACATGTTTTGGGTTTGTCTTTATCCTGTTCCAACAATCACCAACTTTTGTTTGGTTGAAATAAACCCTTAATTCATACATGCTAAAATTACTGTTTATCTATGTAGACTTTGGTGGGTTTGGCAATGTCAAATTCAGGACTGTTTTTGGTTTGACAAAAAGAATGGTACTTTTTAACAAAGAATCAGTCTCTGTAGGGATCCTTGTCAGACACTAATAATAATAATTTGAGCCTGGCGGTGGCAAAAATGAGCACTTTTAGTGGACTTAAATTGACAATATGTACATGCCCTGAGTGGTTACATTGGAGCTTGTTTTGCCAGTACAACCTTGTTGCTCAATATTGGACCATTGGCAAAAAAAAAAAAAAAAAATAGTCACAAAAATATGGGAAAACAGGATCCAGGTTGAAAAATACCAAACTTAACTTTAACTTAACTTTATTTTTTACAATTTTCATTGAAAAGTATCTGTTTTTTTAGGATTTAAAAGGTTGAGATGGATTAAAATATAACTACTATTTAGCTCCAAGAGAAAAAAACAACTTGTGAACTACTAGATTACAGTGAACAGGGTCCTCCGCTGACGAGGACAGCTAAGAAAATGTTTCTGCTGGTCCATGAGAGTACCCAGATTTTCTCATCAGATTTTTAAAATTGCCATTTAAAAAAAAAACAAAAAAAAAAACAAAAAAAAATGATGAGCACTACATAAAATAAATTGAAGAGCTGAACTGCTTTCCTGGATCGCATATGCCTTTAATATTACTGTTTCGAGTAGATTTTCCATAAATCATTCGAGGGTGTGTTATTTGATCACATGTAGTTAACGTCGAGTCAACATTGGACAGTCACACCAGGAAGAGCAGTTAACATGTCGTAATGTTGCCTTAGGTTGTGCATTATTGTCAGAGTTCATAAAACCAAATATTTATTCAGAGCAAATAGACTGAAATATAGCAGCAAACCTTTTTTTCTATAGACTTGTACATTGTTTTTGTATATAGCTCACTATATGTCGATGACATTCTAATGTCTCTTTGAGATAGAAGTGCCTTTTGAATGGGTGGATTTCTGCTTTTCAAAAAGTTTGATTTGATTCATCGCCTGTTCAGAGGGGCTCAGTCGTTCAGAAAACTGAGCTCACTTTGCAGTGAAGCTGAAGTCGAAGCAAGCAGCTGAGAACAGTTTTTTTTAATGGTACAAATAGTGAACATAGTTCATATTCTTTCAGTAAGTATGATCGCCAGTGGAATTAACTCTAAAATGTATTTCAAATAATTCACTATTTTGATATTTCAGAGACATTTATTTTGTGTCAATAGCTAAGGGCAGATTTTTTTAACTTTATATATTTTGTACTGACATTTTTTCCAGTTTGTGCTTCTTCATCTCGTGCCAATACAGATTTTAGAATAGAGTGGCTTCCTCTGGTTGTGACAGTACAACATTGCAGACATGACGACTGTGGACAAGTCGTTTTGGGGCCTTTCTTTTGCTGCATTTGAGAGTCGACTGTTTCTAAACTTCACTAATGTCTTTTGGAGTGCAACAATCAAAGGCATTTATATACAGTACAGTATATCATTGGTTTATAAGAGCTTACTCTACTTCAATCCTATCTTGTAAATGTTATGCTGTAGGTAAAAAAGAATTGCTTGTACAATAAGCTTCATAAAATATATTTGTATATGGAAATGACCTTTAACATGCATCTATTTATTTTCTGTATGTTGCATATCTTGTACAGGTGTGGTCTGGGAAAGGGGGACCAAAGCTCGATATGTTGATGGTCTTTATATCTGTGATGGACATTTGTCACTACTGATGTGAAAGTGTGGTGAACTGTTTAAAGGACTCCCCCCTCTGAGCTCTGACCATCCTTACAAAGCATTCAAAGAGATGAATAAAAGTATGCAAGACTTCGATCTATCAAGGATTTTTTTTGTTGTTGTTTCTAAGACTGACACTTTTGAGGGGTAGTGGCACAAAATACTTTACCTTTATCTCTCCCTACCCAACAACAGAACACTCCGTGGCACAATTGCTGCTGGAAATGCAGCGACAGCTTGCTAAAAAAAACACTCACATTTGGTGGCACAAACATCACTGGAAATGTGGTGATGACCCCCTAAAACACTCATATTTGGTGGCGCAAACGCAGCTGGAAACAGTTAAATCAGTGACTCACTAAAAAACACCCTCATTTGGTGGCACAATCAATGCTAGAAATGCAGCGACAACTCACTAAAAAACACACGTTTGATGGCACAAACGCTGCTGGAAACAATCAAATTATTGACTCACCAAAATGCCCACATTTTGCGGCTCGACACAATCAAGGTGATGACCAACTAAAACAAAAAACATGTTTGGTAGTACAGTTGCTGCTGGAAATGCAGCGACAACTGGCTGAAAACTACCCATGTTTTGTGGCACAAACACCACTGGAAATGCAGTGACAACTCACTAAAACCCAGCCAGGTTCTATGGCACAAACACAGCTGGAAACAATCAAATTATTGACTCACTAAAAATGCCCACGTTTTGTGGCTCAAATGCTGCTGGACACAATCAAAACAATGACCAACTGAAAAACACCCATGTTTGGTGGCACAATCAATGCTAGAAATGCAGCGACAACTCACTAAAAAACACACGTTTGATGGCACAAACGCTGCTAGAAACAATCAAATTATTGACTCACCAAAAAACAGTCACATTTTGTGGCACAAATGCAGCTTGACACAATCAAGATGATGACAAAACATGTTTGGTGGTACAGATGCTGCTGGAAATGCAGCAACAACTCACTAAAAAACAGCCAGGTTCTATGGCACAAACACAGTTGGAAACAGTCAAATTATTGACTCACTAAAAATGCCCACATTTTGTGGCTCAAATGCTGCTGGACACAATCAAAACGATGACCGACTGAATAACACCCATGTTTGGTGGCACAATCGCTGCCGGAAATGCAGTGACCACTCACTAATAACATCCACATTTGATGGCACTAACGCTGCTGGAAACAATCAAATCTATGATGGATGAAAAAAACACACGTTCAGTCGCACAAACAGCTCAAAACGCAGCAACATCTCGCTGAAAAACACCCACAAATGCCGCTGGAAATGCAGCGTTGCTTGGCGGTTGTCTTGCATAGGTGTCACACCGTCCACCATCCCCTCCGGATGACAAAGTCAGCTCATATACATGTAATCACAGCTACATCACTTTAGAAATGTTGATATAATACCTATGAAACATACAAATGTATCTGTGGTTTGCAGAAATGTACAATGCCAACATTTTTTTCTAGGGACTGGGCTTAGTGCCACAAAACATACAGGCATATTTCTATGTACAGTATAATTGCTAATATACAACTTCCACTTACTGCTTAAAACATTTGCATTTTATTTACACATTTTGCAGGACTGCACTTGATATATGCAGTTGTACATAGCACTGTATGTTTTTGTTACTGCCTAAAGTGTGCATAAATTCAAAGGCTTTTTTAAGTCATGTAAATGCCTGTTTTTCAGATTTGATTCCCAATGCTAAAACATAGACCTAGCGACATTTGATATCTTGCAGAGCTAACAATGTTCAATAAGGTATAAATCCATTTTGAGGGTAAGAACAGTGTGACTCCATTTCTGTTTTTGTAAAACTTTATTTTGAGGTACAGTTCAGTCATGAATCCATACAAATTAAGCAGTTCTCGAGGCGGACATTTTGACTCGTCACTGCAGTAAAACAAGCATGATGACATTAATAATGTGAGCCAGCATGCTCAATATCTGGATTGTGGCTAGCCTTGATGCAGTCCTCTGTAATCCGAATCACAGATTTCTTCAGTGATTCAAATAGGTGTGTTTGCTCATTGGTGGCTGTTTTTTCCTTGGAAAAACTATCAGCCAAGCAAAGCTTTCTAGGCAGGGTTATAGGTTCTGTACAGTATGCTGAATTCAGAGCATTAATATAGCAGCAAATCACTACTAAGATATAGTGGAGAAATGGCATCCTAAGCAGAGAATAAAGACAGACTACCTGTGTGTGTGTGTCTGTACCGGTCTCACTCTGAAGTCATCGAAATGCGACACTTTCCAGCCCCACTTGACGCTACTAGTCAAAAAACAACGAGCCCAGGGTACCTTTCACAACGGGTCCATGTCATTGGTTCGACATCCCATTAGTCCGACTGTCCGTGGTGCTGAACGGCTCGCGGCGGGCATATGGTGCGCCACGACCGGCTTGAGGCGAAGCAGGCTCACGGCTTATGTGTTTGTCACTTTCTTTTTCATTTTAACCCACACCATGATCTTTTCCTGACCCTAACCAAGTGGTTTTTGTGCCTAAACCTAACCAGACCTTAACCACAGGGCATCATGATGATTTCGGAACGGACTTCGGAACAATGAGTTTAATATGGTTGGAACAATGGGCTGTCGAACTAATGGGCAGTTCCCTTCACAACGTATCTGGAGGTGGAAGGTCGATGACCAAATGTCAATATGTAGCTATGTTTCCATCCAAAAGTGATTTGAATCATTGGGAAATGTGCATTAAAAGAAATACGAATCCTGTGTGTTTCCATTAAATGATCGGACTTTGGTGAAAACTACGAACATGCGTGAGTTTTCCGCAGAACCGGAAACAAAACAAGTCTCGCATTCTTCTTCTTCTACGTTTTCTGGCGGTTGGCAACCAGCTTGTAAATGCATTACCGCCTTCCCGAACCGGAGTGTGGATATCACCATGGAGAGAGGTGCGCTATGTCAGACTTCATTCTAACATAACTGTTTCCATCCCCTGTTTTGCGTATCAACATTTTTTCGAATCAACCAAAACCCAGCTAAAGCGAGCGTATTTTAGGGATTTTTTCAGGGGATTTTAATTCAAATTTTGGCGTTTCCATCATAATTTTCCGATGCGATACTTCTAGATGCGCATCTAAACAGGCTGATGGAAACATGGCTTGTGACGAGGTCGAAGTGAGAATGTGTTGTTTTTAGTGCTGTTTATGGAGTTAGCAGCGTTAGCTACTAGCCGCCAGTTCAGCCACCTCAATGTTGAGAACCATGTGCAGAGAACTCATACCCTCTGAGTTTGATCAGAGTGTATGAGTTCTCTTTTTTACAGCCAGCCATATAGCTAGCTTCATGGATGAAAATTTGCAGCGAAAGTAAAGCATGGATGACACTGATGCAGTTATAAAAGTTGTGGGTACTTTAAAAAGTATTGTCCTCTATTTTTTTGTGAAAATTGTTAAATCACTTGCTACTGTTTGGTAATGGCAAAACGAAACATGACATCCTGCCAACAGAAATTGGCAAACATGAACATGATGTCAGGATGAATATACTATAGAGTTGAATGAAGTGGCAATTCAGATCAGCTATCAGGTCTGATAATGAACACAATGCAGCTATTATAGATGTGTCTGACAAGTCAAAATGTCCACAGTGGCAAAGGTCTGCACATGTCGGTATGAAAATAAAAGAAATAATAATATCTATCGTGGCATAAAATAACATTTTAATCAACCAATCTAAGAAAACTATTTGATTCAATTACAAAAAGTCAAATTTTAAGAGAAAACACAAACTCTATCTGAAATATTTAACAAACACAGCTGCATCCTGGAATCAGTAGTCATTATCTTAAGGCCACAGCTTCTCCAGGAATATCAGGTGCTTCCATACACAGACATTATCACACACTGTACATACTGTACACACACATTCACCAGTCAATGTATACACAAACATAATGTATATGCGATATTTACAAAATTCACTCACCCAGTTTTTAAGGTTTACATTAAGGAACAAGTAGCTTGGGTTGTATAAATTGTGTATTTTTGATGCTTGTGCTTTACAGTATACAGTATATACATAAACACATGGTACACAGTCTATTTACTGTAAACCTCAAGTGTTTAAAAATGGAAAGTACGTGTTTTTTTTAACCCGAAGCCTCGTTTGGCCTCTTTGCTGCTCCTCCTCACATCATCAACGCCTCAGACCAAGCAGAACCCCTTCTACTTAAGAAGCTGGGAACCACAGAGTTGACTCAGCTTCAAAAAGGTAAATATTTCTTCAGGTCAGGCACCATGCCGCGGGATGCTCACACTCTATAACTGAAGTGGGGAAGGAACTCTTCATGTAGGAACTCTTGATGCTTCTTAGCACGAATGTTTCATGTGTGGGACAGGAGTGCGCTGTGGTTAGACGCCGTCTAAGCAGATAAGTAGAGTCTCTTCTCCCGAGTCTGTTTGTTCTCGAGTTGCCTGTATTTTTGCAGTGTCATCTCCACACATATCTCCTCCCCACACACCTCCATTCCTCTACAGCGGTAAACAAATTGCACATGTCATCACAAAATCCCCTCAGCTGTAAGATATAAAGACTCTGCAGCTGCATCACAAATATTCCCCACCAACCACATCTGGAGCCGTCATGAGGGCCCATAGAAAAGTGTCTGAAAACAATCATTTAGAGGTATCTGTGAAAGATTATTACTTGGGCGTAGACTGATTAAGGAATTTGCGAACATGATACTGTGACACAGGACTCCTTCCAAAGCAGTATGAGAAAAAGCCTGAGTAATTCGCCTGCAGGCTAGCTTTGCAAAGCTAAAGCTGTAATTAATAACGCTATGGATTTTGAAACTACAGCAAAGATAAAAGCATCTAATGTTGCATTTGTTAAGTTGCTTCACTCTGTCAGTGGCACAGTGTGTGGTGAAAATGTCATCGTGTACCACACTGTCACTTGAATGATTAAATTGGCGGCCCAGTGGCCAGAAGAAAATGTCGACATTGTACAATAGACCCTTTTAACCCTGATGTCACAATGATGTAATTTTATTAGCTGGAGGCAAAACCTGCCTCTCCACCACAGGGCTGTAGCCACACAGGAGTGTTAAAATGTGTTTGTCTTGTTGTGTTATTGGGAGCCAGAATAGAAGGAGTCATGGCTCAAAACCAGCCGCCACTGCCCGTCAACAAAAACAAAGTTGGTTAAATGTGATAAGACCAAAGGACTGGACGGAGGCCATCATCAAAAACGCTCACATGTGCAGCGCACACTTCATATCAGGTTAGGGAAAAAGTATTTCCTGTTGTAGGGATGAATAATGTTATGTGTATTAAGGGTTATCATGTCCACCTCATCAGAAACTGTGGAGGGATTAAGAGGAAGACTGGATTTCTCTGGAACGCTAACTTTTTAGCACATTAGCTAACGTTAGCTTCCATAGCAAAACAAACAAGTGTGGTCCTCCTTTGTAAGATTGGCTTCCTGTGACATCATCCATCCACTGAGTGAGAGCCAGCGTTGCCAGATGGGAAATGTAGGATTATCGTACCAGAGACTCAAAATGACCGTATTTTGAGGGAAATTATCGTACATCCGTCATAACCAAAATAACAATCCTACTGATGCACTATAGGCAAATATAGTCACTCTAGTGTTTACTTTTTTGGTTTACTTTTTTTCCATTTTCCTTGCTTCTGTTTTTCCTCTTCTTCTTCTTCTGTTTTGAATCTCATTCTCACTCGACTTCCTGACGGGTCTAGCGCCTCGTGGGGCCTGTACAGCTGACCATTCAGCCAATTGTGCTCATTGTTGAAAGACAAACGTCACCCGTATCGCATGCTAACTAAGCAAAGTGTGATTGGCTGGAAACATGTCACATGGGAACAGATGCCTTCAGGGCTCACAAAAAAACTCCGGCATACTGATTACAACCACACATTCATGAAATGGTCAAATTATCATACATTTGGCCTTTTTGGGGATTATTGATCGTACATCGTACAGAGGGCCAAATTATCGTACAAATACAATAATTATCGTACACCTGGCAACGCTGGTGAGAGCATACGGGTCGGGCTAGTCTGGTCCTGTTGGTCAGTGTTTACTTATTCAAGTAACACTGGCGGTCCCAGAGAGTGAGTGACCTGACATGGTGCGTTGGTAAATTCAGTCTGACGCTCTACACTAAAATGAGAGCCCTGTTGGTCACAGACACAGAGCGTTATATTTCTACATGAATGAACCAACGGTTAAGTTAATCACACATTCACTCCACTTGGCGCTCTGCTGCTCCGTCTCCACAGACAGAATGTCCAGAGTGCACTCTGCTACTCTGCATGAGTATTTCTAAATGCACCACTCACATCATCTTCCTCCATTGTCTGAAACAAGCCAACAGAATTCACTAGCTAATTTCTACGGAGAACTGTTTTGTCTCCAGCTAAGCCCCGCCCACCAAAAGCGTCATACTGTTTACTAACTGTAAAAGGGTCTATTCTGCAAACCACAGGTATGCTTCATTTGTATGTTTCATCCCTATCATATCAGTGTTTCTAAAGTGACGTAGTATATGAGCTGACTTTGTCATTGGGAGGTGGAGGGGAGGGTGGATGGCATGTCACTTAGGCAAGATGCCTGCCAAGATGCAGACCACTTTCTGCAACTGATAAACAACAAAACTGGTTGTTTTTAGCAAATCATCGTTGCAGTTTCATTGGATTTTTAACCACTTAATGTGTGTTATTTAGCATCTCGTCACTGTTTCTCTACTGGGGATAGCGCCACGATAAAACGGCTGTTTATTCACAGAGATGTTGCTGTGTTTCCAGCGGGGATAGTGCAACCAAAACAGGGTACTTTAAGCCAAACACAATCTTTTCCAAACTTTAACCAAATGGTTTTTGTGCCTTAACCTAAGTACATTTTAACCACAGCAATGTAGAAACGTAAAGACAAGTAGTTTCAACTTTCAGTGTATCTGCTACATACTAAAGTACAAAAGTAACATATCCATGGTTTGCAGAAATGTACAATGCCAACATTTTTTTCTCCAAATTGAGTTGTAAATTGGACAACATTGGCCCCTTTTGATTTGTTCGGAGCACCAGTTGTGGTCCGCCATGTTGTAAACACTTTGCATGGTCGTTAACTGGAACTCTAGCCTGAAGCGCATGAAGTCCAAATCCCAACTGCAGAATTTAAAAACATGTTTTTTTCCAGGACTTGTAAGTTGTTATTATTTTGGAATCGATTATGAGCTGAGCTGATTCTTTTTACTGATCTCCAAAGTCACGCATACATGTGCTTTTTTGTTTTTGTTTTTGTTTTTTTAACACATGCCTTACTCGCTTTGCACAAGTTTCCCTGCCATCCAAAGACTTGATCCCTCACTGGCTTCCCACCCATACACCCTGCCGGCTGTTGTGGATTTAAGTGCAACACAGAAGTGCAGCATTTCTCAGAAGGAGATTGTGGAGAACCTCAGTAGCTTTTCGTACTATGGATTTTAGCTTTTAAGCTAACGTGCTACTGCTGCTTTACTTCTAAGCTGTACCTCATTCACTGGAGTGCCAATCAGATTTATTATCCAAAATGACAGTGATGTTAACAAAACAAACTCAACGGAGAATTCTCCTTTAACTCTTCATTTTTGTCAAGATGCCCAAATCATAACCTTATAAAGTAACCAGCGAATTTCAGCTACAGTCGCCCAGAACATGACGACCTCCACCACGGCTGCCAGAGGTGATGGGAGGTCACCTGGAAACCCACTTTTCCCATTAGTTTCGGTTGTTAGGGTGTACAAAGGAAGGACAACAATGGAAAGATGGAGCAGAAGGTCTCAGAAGTCCATGTCCCAGCCAGACAGCTCATCAGGAGGACTGTCCTCATCTGGAGGGTAGCTGTCAAAATAGCTGTGATCTGTTGGACCAGTGAGCTGGAAGAGAAGACAACGAAGAACGCAACGGTGAGAGACTGATTTCTTAAGATACCTCCTCGATTACTAACAGTGCTGTCAGTCAGTCAGTTCTTATTTTGTAGCTCATTCTCGTAGTTAATGTTCAACTGATACCCTCCTCTGAGAAACCTTGAGGAACACTAGAAATCAACCACCCAGGGTTCACTGATACATCTGCTGCCCTCTTTGACATGTGCACAGCAGAAGTCAGCAGAAACATGAATGTTTGTTCCACTTCATTTCCACATGTGTTTATTGTAAACCCAATAAAATGTGAACGAGACAAAAGATAAAGGGGTAAAGCTGACTGCACCAAGACACGCTCATGCAAGACTTCAAAGCTCAATAGAATAATCTAATCCTGGTATTTTAATTGTTCATATTCACATACACTTTGTGTCGTGGTGTTTTTAGCTGCAACATGTCTTGCAAGACATGAGGGCAAATCTCTTTCTGTGCTCTTCCGTCATTATATTTGCTTTGAATTAGAACTTGTAAAGACTCCTAGTTTTACACGTTTGAATAAATATCTGCACTTACTTCTCTTTTCAGTGGAGATGGTAAAGTCCTCGCCTTCAGTCCCTCCCAGTTGAAGCCGTTAAACCACCTTCAGACACATTATGGAGCAGATAAAAACATGTCTGTAAGTAAATCTGACTCAGCCAGCACAAACACACATAGGAGAAATATTTAAAATTGAAGCCTGACAGCAGGACTGTCCCTGACCAACGTCCCGCTCAAACGTTACTGTGTTTGAGGAACCTTTGTGAACATTTGCCTTGACCTCTGGTTCCTGGGGCTGAAAGGAGGCCCAGTATGATGAGTAAGAGCCGTTATCAGTTTAAAGGCCTGAGGTCAACAACACATTTAACTAAAGACTATTTTGAGATCGGTAGAGATGCACAATACCGATAACCGATAATTCCACATTCTTGTATTTTAAAAAGAAGTTCTTAACTTATGTAACTGTAATAATAAGGGTGTTGTGTTTCCCATACGTTAATTTCTTTTATAAATACCTGCCACAATATCAACACTGACCCGCCAAAGGGGCGTCCAATAGCTCAATGGGTAGAGCGGGTGTCCCATTTGCGAAGGCAATGTCCTTTCAATTGTTGGATTCTAGCTCGCGGCCCTTTGCCCAGCAGTAGTAGCAGTAGTTTAGTCCATAAGGACTTGGCTTGAGAACCCGACGGTCCCTGGTTCAAGCATGGAAAGCGGACTGGTAGCTGGAGAAGCGCCAGTTCGCCTCCTGGGCACTTTCTAAGATTTAGATTTTCCAATTCTTGTTTTTTTTAGTATTTAAAATGGGTAAAGTCAGATTTTATTGTAGAGCTGCACGCAGCCTATGGATTCATGTATTAATGAGTTTACTGACATCACACGGTGGTGACCGCTCATTGACGGGTTTACTGAGTCGAGCAGTTTCGCTTTTGATGTGGTTTGATGGGACCTTTATGGGCTTGGTGTTGGATGTTAGCTAGAGCTAGAAGGCAACTACACTGGCAGATGGCCAACTGACAATTGGCAACTAAGGCAGTGGTTCTGGGGATGGTACCTCAGCGCTGCATCAGACCCCCTCGTACAATTGTGTTGTTTGCCTCTAAAACTGTGTAAAACTTCCATACTGGTGTTTGGCTCTCCAGTTAACATGCTGTCATCCTTTTCATTATGAAAGGGGATTTACAAAGGGTCCATTTTCAGTGACCTAAAATGCAGTTTTCATGTAACCTGGAAATCCAGATGCCCCGCCCCTAGCAAATTTGAATTTGTTCTGCATGGGCTGAATCTTGGCGGGCGTAACATGAAGAGGACAGTGCTGCTCCGTAGGAGTCGCAAAGTAAACAGCCAAGATGGCAGCTGCCGAAGGACTGCGTCCATTTAATTTAGCTTTGGAAAAAACGCTAAGCCAACTACACTTATCTTACATTTTTGCCGTTTTGCCGACGGGATATGGCAAAAGCATAATATATCAGTTAGCCCCACTGGTCCGCAAACAAATGGGGCTTAGTGCAATGAATACGTCACCTTGTTTTTTGCTCTGATTGGCTATCTTGCTATCCAATTGCATGCGGCGGCATTTGAAATACCTCAGTTAGTGCCACCCCTTGGGTAGGAAGGGTGTATCGGTGAGGGCCGGACTCAAAATCTTTCTAGATTTGAGTCTGGATTTCCAGGCTAGTTTTCAAGTGGAAGAAAAGCCAAAATGCATTGAAAAGGCTGTTTTAGGAGACGACCTCTACCTCACCTGGTAGAGTGCACGCCCCATATAGACTGAGTCCACAGTGGGGGCGACCACAGTTCAAGTCTGACCACTGGCCCTTTGCTGCATGTCATTCCTTCTCATTTGACTATGCTGTGCGCTCACCCACCGCTCTTGTACAGTGTGTTCAGTCATTATCTAATTGCTGAGGTCATAAACCGCTGGCCCACGTTCATAATGTTCAATCAGCTCTAATAGCTTGGTTAATCTCCCCACTGAGATCAGCTACAGAATAAATCAGACCTTCTTACCTGTGCTTCTTGATATCAATTATTCCATTTTTCAGGTTGCCCAGTCGCTCTGAGGGATTTCTCCTGTAAAGCAGATCAAGGTTTGAAGTTACTGTTTTGTCCCAAAGACAGTGTCTTCTTCTGTAACTTTGCTTGCTTTGTTTGAATACTGAAAATCAGTATGTACAATGCCATTTTGTTGTTCTGATGGATTGTTCAGATTCTGTTCTGAGAAATGTGGCTAAAAGTGGTGAATTGGAGGATTTTCAAGCTATTTTTTTTAACGTTCTACTGGTGTACCTGCACAGCTTGCGTATGAGGTCCTCGGGTCTCTTGGTTATCTTCTTGGGGAAGTCCATCTTCTCGATGCCTTTCAAGATGAAAGTGTACGTCATCATCTGGTCACTCCCTGAGAACGGAGGACTGTGGAGTGGAGGAAAAAAAGACACATATTTATGGCTGAGGTCAGTTGGAGTGAAGCTTCTTCAGCAGCACTCCGTTCAAGTTAGCTATCAATGATTACTGCCAATCAGGAAGGAGACTGAAGTGATAGCCAGAGGGAGGATGATTATTAGGTGCATTACTGGAAGCAGACATGACCACACGCACTGACCTGCCAGTAAGGAGCTCAAACACGAGGATGCCCAGAGACCAGAAGTCCACACTGAAGTTGTGGCCTTTGTTGAGGATGATCTCAGGGGCCACGTACTCCGGTGTCCCGCAGAAGGTCCACGTCTTTTGGCCGCATCTGATCTTCTTGGCAAAACCAAAGTCAACCTGAGAAGGCAGAGTCAATCAATTAACTTTTATTTCCCAAAAAAATACCCTAAGGGTGGACACTACAAGTGAATAGGCTAAAACTTTTAACTAATATATTCTAACAGACCACTCACAATTATTTTTTGTATTACTTCCTTGATTATCAACCAGTTGTACACTGCAAATTTGTGACTAGACCACCGAGTCACAACAGACAAAACCAACAAAGATCTAAGAAGAATTTGAAGAGAAACATCTGCCAGCTGTTTCCCAGACCAGAGTATGTTCAGTCGCTCACCAGTTTGATGTATCCCTCAGCATCCAGCATGAGATTCTCAGGCTTCAGGTCTCTGTAGAGGACACCCTTGCGGTGGAGGTAATCGAAAGCCTCTGTAACGCAGCCAACGCAGAACTTGGCAGTGGGCTCATCAAAACTCCCCCTAAAGATGAGAAAGCTTCATTTAAACTTTTTGCTGACAAGTGGGGTCGAACCCTACGCTGTTCAGGAGGCGGTGAAGCAGAAAAAGTGGTCTCATTACACAGATGCACCTGAACACAGTTACAGGCAGTGATTTATGACAACTGGACCTGCGAGTCCCTCATTAAATGGTAACCTAACAGTAATACTGTCACTGTACGCTGCAAGCCAGTAAGAAAATGACAATGCTGGGGAATGGATGGTGTTTTAGAGACAGCGAGCTAAATGTTTTTGTGAGGTTTTCAAAATTCACTCCTACCTGTCTCTGAGCAGACTCCAGATCTCTCCACCCAGACAGGCCTCCAGCAGCATGTACACGTACTTGTTGTCCCTAAACGTGCGATACAGTCTGGAGGAAGAGGAGCACAGGCAGGTTGCACTTCAGAATAACAGGTCTGACCTTCATGTAAACATAAACATTAACATTGATCATGGACTTTCCACTTCCAGATACGACGTGCAAGGTAGGTACTCTGGGTGCGTCGGTTGCTCACCTTGCACATCCTACCTGGACGTGGAAAGTCTATGATCAAAGGTCAATATGTGACAAGGTCGGAGTGAGAATGTGTTGGACAGACATGGAAGTTTTAATTCCAAAACAATAGATGCTTATATTCACTCTGCCCCAGATCAAGTGGTATGCCTCCCCTTCAACAATTCAGAAATTTCGAGACATTTTTTAGCCCTTGAATATCAAATACTTAATCGAAGATGTTTTAAGGCTTTTAAAAGTCCAGTGTGTACGATTTAGGGGGACTAAAACATACATTTAATGTCATATAGAGGTGAGGATTGGAGATTGCAACCAGCTGAAACTTCTCCTGGTTAGAATTCCTTCAGTGCTCAGGAGGTTTTTACCGGTAGTAGAATTATCCACAGAGGTCTCATGCTCTCCAAAACAAACAGACCAAAACATTGCGCAGGCACAAAATGAGGCCTGAGAGAGGCGTACGCCACTTCCTACACAAAAGTTGTGATCTGTAAAAACAGGCTTGATGGGAGAAAGTTTGGCTCATGCTCATTTTGGAGATGGGGAACTGGTGAGGCAGATGGTGAGGTGGAAGCCTGATTATAGAAATTGTTGTTAATTTTTTTGGCGCACGCTATCTTTGGCTTTTGTCCGTACAAACTTTTTTAGTATAGATCATACGCATTGTTTTATAAATGAGACTCCAAGTGATTAGAATTGGTAGAAACACTGAATAAAGCAGTTTCATGTTAGCGTTAGCGCTTCTCCAAGCTGTTTTGCATGTCGCAGACCGTCCGCTAGCCCAGCACCTGCTAATGTGCGCTTATCTTTTTGTCTGATAACTTCAGATGTTAAGGAGCTTTTTACTGGGAGCTGAATTATCTACAGAGGTCTCTTCCTCTCCAAAACAAAACAAACAAAAAAAAATCACACAAAAAAAGCAGTTTCATGAACTTTCATGAACAAAAAAAACGGTGTGTACGAATGCTGCTTGTCGCAAAGCGGCTGCTAACTACTGTGGCTGACGTGAAAACGTGAATGGCCTTGTCTAGAGCCAGTGTTTGGTTTGTCCATTCTGGGCTACTGTAGAAACATGGTGGTGTAACATGGTGGACTCCATGGACAAGGACCCGCTCCTTATGTACAGTACAGGCCAAAAGTTTGGACACACCTTTTCATTCAATGTGTTTTCTTTATTTTCATGACTATTTACATTGTAGATTCTCACTGAAGGCATCAAAACTATGAATGAACACATGTGGAGTTATGTACTTAACAAAAAAAGGTGAAATAACTGAAAACATGTTTTATATTCTAGTTTCTTCAAAATAGCCACCCTTTGCTCTGATTACTGCTTTGCACACTCTTGGCATTCTCTCCATGAGCTTCAAGAGGTAGTCACCTGAAATGGTTTTCCAACAGTCTTGAAGGAGTTCCCAGAGGTGTTTAGCACTTGTTGGCCCCTTTGCCTTCACTCTGCGGTCCAGCTCACCCCAAACCATCTCGATTGGGTTCAGGTCCGGTGACTGTGGAGGCCAGGTCATCTGCCGCAGCACTCCATCACTCTCCTTCTTGGTCAAATAGCCCTTACACAGCCTGGAGGTGTGTTTGGGGTCATTGTCCTGTTGAAAAATAAATGATCGTCCAACTAAACGCAAACCGGATGGGATGGCATGTCGCTGCAGGATGCTGTGGTAGCCATGCTGGTTCAGTGTGCCTTCAATTTTGAATAAATCCCCAACAGTGTCACCAGCAAAACACCCCCACACCATCACACCTCCTCCTCCATGCTTCACAGTGGGAACCAGGCATGTGGAATCCATCCGTTCACCTTTTCTGCGTCTCACAAAGACACGGCGGTTGGAACCAAAGATCTCAAATTTGGACTCATCAGACCAAAGCACAGATTTCCACTGGTCTAATGTCCATTCCTTGTGTTTCTTGGCCCAAACAAATCTCTTCTGCTTGTTGCCTCTCCTTAGCAGTGGTTTCCTAGCAGCTATTTGACCATGAAGGCCTGATTGGCGCAGTCTCCTCTTAACAGTTGTTCTAGAGATGGGTCTGCTGCTAGAACTCTGTGTGGCATTCATCTGGTCTCTGATCTGAGCTGCTGTTAACTTGCGATTTCTGAGGCTGGTGACTCGGATGAACTTATCCTCAGAAGCAGAGGTGACTCTTGGTCTTCCTTTCCTGGGTCGGTCCTCATGTGTGCCAGTTTCGTTGTAGCGCTTGATGGTTTTTGCGACTCCACTTGGGGACACATTTAAAGTTTTTGCAATTTTCCGGACTGACTGACCTTCATTTCTTAAAGTAATGATGGCCACTCGTTTTTCTTTAGTTAGCTGATTGGTTCTTGCCATAATATGAATTTTAACAGTTGTCCAATAGGGCTGTCGGCTGTGTATTAACCTGACTTCTGCACAACACAACTGATGGTCCCAACCCCATTGATAAAGCAAGAAATTCCACTAATTAACCCTGATAAGGCACACCTGTGAAGTGGAAACCATTTCAGGTGACTACCTCTTGAAGCTCATGGAGAGAATGCCAAGAGTGTGCAAAGCAGTAATCAGAGCAAAGGGTGGCTATTTTGAAGAAACTAGAATATAAAACATGTTTTCAGTTATTTCACCTTTTTTTGTTAAGTACATAACTCCACATGTGTTCATTCATAGTTTTGATGCCTTCAGTGAGAATCTACAATGTAAATAGTCATGAAAATAAAGAAAACGCATTGAATGAGAAGGTGTGCCCAAACTTTTGGCCTGTACTGTAGATATAAACGGCTCATTCTAAGGTAACAAAACCGCAATGATTCTTGCTTTCAGGTGATTATAACTAAAGAAAACATACTTGTTATATTCCATTTCTGCCAATAAACCCCACACACTGAACCTTTAAGGATCCACGGAGATCCTGTTAATCATTTACGATCAGCATGTTCCTGTTACAATTATATAATTAGTGGTCTCACTGGTTATTAAATATTTAGGGTGCAGTTTTTTTCACTAATCTCTTTCTATGTAATTTAATTATCAGTGAAAATTAGTAGAAATTAAGAAAGTAGTCACATTTAATAATCACTTGCCTAAAGAGTCCACATTAGTTTTATTTAGTTAAAAAAAAACAGCTTAACTCTGGCTTGATTTCTTGCTCTTAAACAGTAAACTGATAAACTGCATATATAAAGCAGCAGCGAGAGATCATAACCAGTAACCAGGGCGCTTAAATGAATCAATACAGCCTCAGTGGTTATTATTGCACTGCGCTATAATATATTTAAAGACATTACTGCTCAAATTATTGCTTCATTTGTGAACTAATGTGACTTTAATTGACCCTTGTGGTAATACTGTCAGAGTAAATTGCTAATAGCAGCCCAGGAGGACATACAGAGAGTCAATATCACGCTCAGAGACACTTGAGACAGCAGAGCGGACGTTAACTGCTCCACCACACTGTCACCCAACATACTCCTGAATCTTAGATCACATTACATCAGTCTTGGAAACAGATTAGAAATATGAAGAGATGATAATAAAAACATATGAAAAAGGTAAAATAAACACATGGGGTGTATGAAGAGGAGGTCAACAGGAGGAGTGTTTCAGGAGGTGAAGAATGGCTTTAATATCTGCGTCTCTTCCGCTGCGTACGGTGAAATTGGATCATCGTAATCTCACGAAAAGAAAAGCTGCCGCTGCAATGTTTCATAACAAATAACTACATTTTGGTCACAGACATCTTAATATCCCCTGCCATTCTACCCCATTGAGAAGATGTAATCTGCTCGAGGCCTCGACTGTGATCTCATCAAAAACTAATAAGCACCGCACTGTTTTCTCAGACTAATGGAGCAGAGCTTCATCATAGGATAAAAAATGGAAATGGGTTCAGACGCTGAGCAGGAGGACTGACTTGACAACGAACGGCGAGCGAGCCTCAGCGAGGATCTTCCTCTCCGAGTGGATGTGCTCCTCCTGCCTGTTGTCCACCACGTGCTTCTTCTTGATGACTTTAAGGGCAAAGGTGATGTCCTGGCCCTGCACCTTCACCTGCAGGTGGAAATAACAGGGTGGGATGTCACAAGATGGACAACAGACTTGGCAATATTCTGCATGGCAAGTATTGTTTTTTTAATTATATAAATTATTAATATTGCAAAATTAAATTAAACTTTTGGTGGCCTACTAGAATAATAAAATTTTCTGCAATAAAATTATTTAAGTGAGATAAAAAGACTGAAAACTTTATCTTATTAGCTGAAACAGACAGTGACAAAGTTCTTCCTTTATTTGCAGTTGAAAAAAGAAATAAATCACAATATATCGCAATATAAGTTATGGCAATACTTTAGCATATTGCAAAACATTTTACAGCAAAAAAATAATATATTGGCAAATAAAAAAATAATATATTG